CTCTAGTTAATAATATTGTATGATATACTTGAAAGTTGCTAAGAGAGCTCTTAAATGTTCTTACCACATACAAAATTTGTGATTATGTGAGCTGATGGATGTGTTAACTAACCTTATTATGATAATAATTTCACAGTATATAAATATATCAAATTCTCATGTTGCCCACCTTAAACTTATACAGTGTTATATGTCAATTATATCTCAATAAAGCTGGAAAAAAATAAAATGAGTATGAGTTCTTCAATACACAGTATTGTGACACACACTAGCAACAAACACTGGAAACCAAAATCAAAAACACAATAACATTATGTTGTACACCTGAAAAGAATGTGACATTGTGTGTCAACTATATTTCAATCAATAAATTTAAAAAAAATCATAATAACATTTACAATTACTCCAAAGAAAATAAGATATGTAGGTATGAACCGAACAAAACACATATAGGATCTATATGCTGGAAACTACAGAGCATGATGAATGAAATTAAAGAAGACCTAAGAAATGGAGAGACACTGTGTTCATGGATTGGAAAGATGAAACACATGAAAATTGTCAATTCTCTCCAAATTCATCTATAAATATAAAACAATTTTGATCCAGGGGTGCCTGGGTGGCTCAGTCGTTAAGCATCTGCCTTCGGCTCAGGTCATGGTCCCAGGGTCCTGGGATCGAGCCCCGCATCGGGCTCCCTGCTCCGCGGGGAGCCTGCTTCTCCCTCTCCCACTCCCGCTGCTTGTGTTCCCTCTCTCGCTATATCTCTCTCTGTCAAATAAATAAAATCTTTAAAAAAAAATTTTTTTGATCCAAATATGAGCACGTTTTTTATAGACATAGATAAGCTTATTCTAAAATTATACAGGAAGGTACAGGACCCAGAAGAGCTAAAACAGTCTTCACAAGGAAGAAAAAAGTGGGAGGAACCACTCTACTTGATATTAAAGCCTCTATGTGACTACAGTAATCAAGGACATGTGTTGTTGGTGGAGCACAGACACATAGATCAATGGAGCAGAATAGAGAAACCAGAAATAGAGCCACACCAATATGCCGATCTGATATTTGACTAAGGTGTAAGAGCAATTCAATGGCAGGAAGATATTTTTTCAACAAATCATGCTGGAGCGATTGGTATCCACAGGGAAAAAAGTGAACCTTGATCTAAGTCTCACACCTGTGTAAAAATGAACAAAAAATGGTTCATAGATTTAAATGTAAAACTTAAGGGGCACCTGGCTGGCTCAGGCAGAAGAGCATGTGCCTCTTGGATCTGGGGGTCGTGAGTTTGAGCCCCACATTGAGTGTAGAGAGTAAAGGAATAAACTTTTTTTTTTTTAATGTAAAACTTAAAACTGTAACACTTTTAGAAGAAAAGTATTTTTGTTTCTGATATAGGGCTGGGCAAAGAGTTCTTAGATTTAACATCAAAACACTATTCATAGAAAGAAAAATTAATAAATTGAACCTCAGTAAAATTAAAACCTTCTGTTCTACGAAAGCCCATAGGAAGAGGATGAGAAAAGTAACTGCAGACTGGGAGAAAATATTTGCAGATCACGTATGCAACAAAGGACTAATATCTAGAATATATAAAGAACTCTCAAAATTCAACTGTGAGAAAACATTCCAAAGAAAAAATGTGCAAAATCCAATGAAGAGACAGTTCCCGGAAGAGGATACACAGATGTCAAATAAATACATGAAAAGATGGGAGATACCATTAGATATTAGGACAATGTAAAATACAACCACAATGAGCTATCTCAATACACCTATCCGAATGGCTAAAATCAAAAAATAATGGCAACAGTAAATGTTGACAAGAATGCAGAAAAACTGGATTTCTCATGCATTGCTGGTGGGAATATCAATAGTACGGCCACTTTGAAAAGCATTTGACAGTCCTTAACAAAACTAAACATGCACTCACCATACAACCCAAGAACGGCACTGTTGGGCCTTTATTCCTGGGAAATGAAAAGTTATGTTCATGCAAAATCTGGAGACCTATGTGCACAGCAGCTTGATTTGTAACTGCCCCAATCTGGAATGAACCCAGATGCCTCGCAGTCGATGAATGGTTGAACAGGCTATGGTATGTCTGTACCACGGAATATTAATTAGCCATAAAAAAGGAATGAATTATTAACATATGACACAACTTGGATGGGTCTCCAGAGAATTATGATGAATTAAAAAGAAGCCAGTCTCAGAAGGTTACATACTGCATGATTCCGGGTAATACTCCTAAATGACAAGATTACAGAGATGGAGAACAGCTTAGGGGTTGCCAGGGAGTAGGAAGACGGGGAGAGAAGCTAGGTGGGACTATAAAAGAGGACCACTGGGAATCTTTGTGGTGCTGGCATTGTTCAGTATTTTGACTGTGGCAGTGGCCACATGAACCAACACGTGATAAAATTTCATAGAACTATACACGCTGGCAAATGGGTGCATGTAAAACTGGTAAAATTGGAAGAAGGTGGATGGATTGTATCGATATTATACTACAGCTATGAGTCATGTTACCATCGGGGGGTGAAGGGTATTTGGGAATCCCTCCAAATTATTTCTTACAATTGTAAATCTACAATTATCTCCAAATAAAAAAGTTTTAAGAAGGGAGTATGACATGATCTGTGCTCTAATCCCCATTTAATAGGGAAAAATAAGGCATGGAAATAATCCTCAGTTTAGTTTAAATAAGGCCTGGTAGGAAGTGGAGGTTTGGGCTCACCCAAATTAGAGATCCCAATTCAGAAATCAAGACCAACTAATACAAGGACCACCATCATTTACATGAATGAAGAACCTTTCAGAAAATCCCTGCAGCTCCCTTATTAGTTGCCAAGTGTAAAAGAGATCCTGAGCAAAAACTGCCCAGTTCAAAAGAACCATTTGATCACAGTAAATTGTTTTAAGCTTTTTTTTTTTAATTGTTTTAAGCTTTTAAGCCACTAGGTTTTGGGATGGTTTATTATGCGGTAATCAGAATGTTAAATCAGGCAGGGGGAGCGAGTGGTAGTAGCCAAATACATGAGTGGTAAATTTCAGTGAGTCTACTCATTTTCAATGCTAGGATCCATGTTTGTCCCAGGCTGTTGTTCCTGAAACCCATTTTCCTGAATACATACTCTCTAGGCATGTTGGCAGTGATGATGGGGGCTGGGGAACGCAGATACAAAGGAAATTGAACAACCAGTCCTTGCCTTGAAGAACTCACAGTCTTGTGAGACAAAACATCAGCACATTAAATGGCATGAGAACAGTTATAAGGCAACAAATCAGCAAGTTCAAACTAATATACTACAGCACAAATTGAATGCATGTGGCAATGTATGGCTACCCAAACAGCGGGATGGAGCTAGACATTTTGGACCCTGAAGGCAACACTTTAGAAGGGCCCCTTTTCCTTCCTTAACAGTGAAATAAACATCTCCAGCAATGCAGGGGCTAGTTGGATGATATTAACACTTCTGAAGAAAGAAAAAGGAGGTAATTTCCAGAGACAGTTATTCTTGTTTTACTTTTCCTTTGTTCTGTGTTCCTGATATGTGATTTAGGGGCAAGCTACAATTTCCCTGAGCATCCATTTCCTCATCTCCAGGCTGGAGGTAACAATCAGAGAGTAGTGGGTTGAAAGTCAGGAAACCTGACACAGAATCTCAAATCTGTCATTTACTAGCTGCATGACCTTGGATACATCACCTCCCTCCACCCCATCCATTTCCTCTTCTGTGACAGGAAGATGTTGAGCTCCATGGTCCAGAAGATCCCTACCGACTGACTCTTAACACTTGAGGCCACAGATAGTTCATAGTTGGTGGTGAGGGGTTAAAAAAGTAATGATGATGTATACGAAAGTAATCCATAAGCCATAAAGATATATAGATGTTAGAAATAACAATATGATCCAGTTCCATGTTAAAAAAAGAAAAAAAAGCCCTGTAGCTCTCCTCCAAAGTTAGGGGCTTAAAATATAAATGGGTACAGTCTGTCAAGGCAGCACTTTGGGGCCCTTAGAGGATTCTGAGAATTCTTTGTAACTACTGCTCATCAAATAAACACAACTTTGCACTAGTCTGTCTCAGGCTCACCAAGCCATCCGCAGGGCTATTGTGATTTCAAGGCTGGGTTCTTGGCCCAACTCAGAATCCCAGGGACTGCTAGAACAGTGGTGGCTGTGGTGGGCCACTCCAAATTTTCTTCAAGACCCCGAACAGTTAGTAAAGGCCCTTTGCATGAGGCGCGGGGGCCCTCTTTGTGGGAGAAAGCAGATTTCTAAATCGTCCCCTCTCCCTCCACACAGACACCCGTCTCCACCCTGCCTTTAAGGACACCGACACTTTGCCACTTTTCCAGCCGCGGTGTGGATTGGGAAACGCCCCGAAATGATAAGCAGCTTGCTGGGGCGTAATTTGCGAGGCCAGTTCCTCCAGCGTCCCGCGCACTGGCGCAGGGCCGGACCAGGTGCACCCAGAGGGGCCCTGTGCCGGAGGACAGGGGTTGCGGGCTTCCAGACAGCGAGGCCGGAGGGTAGCCGGGGTCTCCAGGGCCCGCGCGAGTGGTGGGGAGCTCCTAGGTGCATTCCAGCGCAGAGGGGGAGGAGGGGCCGGAGGAGAGGTGCGGTCCCTTTAAGACCCCAACGCTGGCTTAGCCAGAGGAAGGGGGGTGCAGTGGGGGCGCTGCGTGATGGGAAAGTCGCCGGCTGAGCCTCACACTTTCTCCCGATTTCTTAACTTTCGGGCCCGCGGAGCAGGAGTAAGGGCGCTGTGCCGGGGCGGAGACCCGGCTGCGGGCTTGCGGCGGCTGCGCGCCCGCGGACTTCCCGCCTGCGCCGGGCGGCGGGCCT